CTGAAATTAATAAAGGGAAAAAAAAATTTTTTTTAAATAAAAGAATAAAACAGGAGGTACAGCTCCATTCCCTGCAGACATCAAAAAGATAATGAGCCCTGGCCGGTTTGCCTAAGCAGTTAGAGCGTCAGCCTGCGGTCCGGAGAGATCCGGGTTCGGTTCCCACTAAGGGCATGTACCTCGGTTGTAGTTTGTCCCTGGCCCTGGTTGGGTCGTGTGGGTGGCAACCATTCGATGTGTCCCTTTCACGTCGATGTTTCTCTCTCTCTCTCTCTCCCCCTCCCACTCTATCTGAACAAAATATCAAAAAATGTCCTCAGGTGAGGATAAAAAAAAAAAGATAATGAGAGGCATGTGGTGGTTAATTTTACATGTCACCTTAGCTGGGTCGTGGTGCCTAGATATTTAATCAAATATTCTGGATGTGTGTCTGCAAGGGTGTTTTTTGGATGCAATTTACAATGAAATCAGTGGACTCTGAGTAAAGCAGATTGGCCTCTATAATGCGGGTGGGCGTTGTCTAATCAGTTGGCTGCAACAAGGTTTGACCTCATTAGCCACTAGGGAAATGCAAACTAAAAGCATGATGAGCCATCATACTTGGTATAATGATGAAAAGAAAAAGCCGTGACAAGAAGTGCTGGTGAAAATGTGGAGAAACTGGTTCACTCACATGTTGCTAGTGCAGATGTGATACGGTGTGTTGCTCTGAAAACCAGCCTGGGTGTTTCTTCAAAAACAAAACACGCAAGTACTGTATGGCTCAGTAGTTGTGCTCTGGGTACTTATTGCAGAGAAATGAAAACCTGTGTTCACACCCCAGCCTACACACACACGTTCATAGCATCTTTATTACTCATAGACCAGAGCTGTAATCAACCCAGATGTTCTTCAGTAGGTGAGTGGTTAAACAACTGGTCCACCCACACCACTGAGTACTGCTCAGAATACAAAGGAACACCACCGATGCGTGCAAAGACTTGGAAGGATCTCCTGGGAATTACACTGGGCGAAACGGCTACTCAAGTTTACTTACTATGTGATTCCACTTACGGAGCACTAAAATGACAACATTTTAGGGGTGGAGGACAGATTAGTGGTAGCCAGGGATGAGTGACCAGTAGGGGACATTCAGGAGGTGGGTGTGGTTAAAAAAAAAGGGCAACCAGAGCCATCATCATTGGGTGCTTCAGTTCATGCAGGAAACAACTTGGGTAATCAAATTGTACAGAATTTATTACATACATGAATACAAGTAAAACCAGGACACTGGAACAAGATGGGTGGATTGTATCAGCATCAATGTCCTGGTTGTGATCTTCTGTTGCATAAAAACCTTACCTGTGGGGAAACCAGACAACATGCACAAGGGCGCCTGCTGTGTTATTTCTTAGAATTGCATGTGATTCTATAATTACTTTCACAAAAGTTTCAATTAAAAAAAATTCCAGCCCTGGCCGGTTTGGCTCAGCAGTTGGAGCTTCAGCGTGGGGACCAGAGGGTCCCGGGTTCAGTTCCCACTAAGGGCACCTACCAAAAAAAAAAAAGAAGAAGAAAAAAAAATTCCACTGCTAGGAATTATTTCTGAAGAAATCACCAGAAGCGTCTACCCTGGCATAAGAGTAGTTATGCTTGAGAACTGTCTGTGATGGAGAGCTGGATAGAGCCGCAACCCTTTCCCAGAGCTGTGTGCCCACCTGTGCCCAGCAATGCCAGGCAGCCAAGAAAACCATGCTGTACACCAGGACTGGGCTAGACCTAGGTAGGTAGGTATTGTAAGTGAAAACAGCAGATTAGGAAAGGGTACACATCGTAAAACCTTTTTAAACAATCTACTGGCTTGTATATAAAACTTGGGAAAGATACTATGAAAATATCTAATTGTCTTCAAAGTGATTCTTCATCTGGCAGCACACTTTCCGGAGTTGGTTAAGTGCAACCCCACCCACGAGGCTTTGGCCCCGGGGAGGCCAGCCCTGGCGGCTGCCTGCCCGCCCCACCGCCCCTCCCACCACGGCCGCCTGCAGCGTGGGGGCCTATTGGCATAAGCATCCGTGGGGGTTTCTGTGGACCAGGCAATGTTGGGGGAAATGGGGGACAGGTCGTTTGAATTTCACCTAATTTTCACAGCTCATGAAACATTACTCTTATTTTGACTTTTCCCAGTGCATTTAACATTGAGAAAACAGTCTTCACTGGGGGGCCACGAAAAAACAGGTGGCGAGTGGGGTTCGGACTGCACTAGAGTTTGCTGCCCTCTGAGCTGTGTAACAAATGCCCCGCACTGCCCCAGGCTAGGCAGCATTCCTGGAGCGGGGCGCCTCTCCTCCCTCCAAAAAAAATTTAATAAATAAAAGTAAATGGAAAAAATAACCTTGGGTGAGGACTACCAACATCAAACACCTCCCCCCTTGAAATATGGTAATAAATGAGTAAGTTATCGAGAGTGTAGGAAGGTCCTCAGGTCCTGCGCCTGGCTCAGGCATGGAAGCCAGGGGCCTGAGGCTGGAGCAGAATGAGCGGGCTAAGGGGGCGCTGCCGAAGAGGAGGGGTACGGAGGCTGTGAGGCTCGGGAGGAGAGCCACGGAGGGCTCTGGGCGGAAGGGGCCTGTGAACTCACCTTACAAAACTAGGCCAATAACTGTGCAGTCAACGAACGACTTCGATCCACACTTGTGAAATGACCACCTTTATCTCATGGTCATCCAAAACAGGGGGGCAAAACCCGGGACCCTGGGGCCAATCCCGCCTATAGACTAGATTCGGCCTGCACACAGATTCGCACTAGGAAACTGTCCACTACACACCCGAAGATTTCTTACATAAACTGAAAGGGGGCGCGAGGTCCTGGGGGGCAGCATCGGAAGGCACGGCCGCCACCCCAAGGCCTCCCTGCGGCCGGCCCCACGGGGGCTGCGTTGTCCCAGGGCCACAGGGAACCAGGCCGCGCACGGAAGCGCCTTAACGCCGCCGGTCTCAGGGCTTCGGGGCGCCCCGCACGTGGCTGCCACAGCCTCCGGAGCCCCGGAGCCAGAGCCGGGCACTGGGCGCCGTTTCCGGTCGGCCGGCCTCGGGGCGCTGCGGGCCGCGGGCAGGGCGCCGGCAGGTGGGCTTCCGGTCCCGAAGGCTGGGCGCCGCGCCCACCGCGGGAACACGCGCACCTGCCCCCGAGCCCAGCGCCCAGTCGCCCCGCCAGGGGCTCGAACCCTCGGCTGGGGCCTGACGCCGGGAGGCGGCGAGGTGAGCCCGGTGCGGTCTGGCCGGGGCGGGCCAGCCCGCAGGTCTGCGCCGGGGCCGGGTGTCGGGACACGAGCAGGGCGGGGTCGGCGCGCGGGGTCTGCGCCTGCGTGGTCGGCCCGGGGCCCTCCTGTCAGCGGCACTCAGAGCCTGGCGCCCGGCAGGTCGCCCGACAGAGGCAGGCCCGTGGGCACTGCGCCTGCGCCCCGCGGCCCCGCCCCCGGCCCCGCCCCGCGCCGCGCGGGGCCCTGGGAGGGGTGCAGCGTCCGGCGGCGTCGCTGGCAGGCGGGTGGCGGCGGCGGCGGCGGGAGGGCCGCGGGGGCAGACAAAGCCGCGGCTAATGAATGGGAGCGCGTCCGCCTGCGCGGCCGTGGAGTGCAGCCGGGCGGGAGCCCCGCCGCCGAGCCCGGCGCCCGCGGTGAGTGCGCGGCCCCAGCCCGCTCCGCCTCAGCCCGAGCTCGCGCCTGGGCACGGCCGTCGTGGTGCGTCGTCGGGGCCGGGCCGGGGCCGGGCCGGGGTCGGGCCGGGGTCGGGGGCCGGTCGTCGGGGTCCAGGCCGGGGTCGAAGGTCGGGGACCGGCCGGGGTCGGGGGCCGGGCCGGGGTTAGGGGCCGGGCCGGGGTCGGGGTCCAGGCCGGGGTCGGGGTTCTGGATCGGGCCAGAGGTCCGGGCCAGGGCGCCGCGATTCTGTCCTCGCCGGGCAGGGCCGGGGATGGGCCGGCGGACGCGGCCTCCTGTGGCTGGGACCCCGCCCGGCCTCCGACTGGGCCGCGTTGCCTGCGGCGCCCCTGCCCGGGCCCGGCCCCGACCCGGCGGGCGGACGGAAGGAAGGACGGTCACCCCCGGCGCGCTTTCCGGGCAGCGGCGTGTCGTCGACCGAACCCCGCAAGTGGTGAAAGTTGGTGCGGGGACCGACGGCGCGAAGAGGCGCCTCGCAGAAGCGCTCCCGTGGGCGCCGCCGTGAAAGGAGCGCGCGTGGGGCTGCGGCGACGCGGCCGCTGCAGCGGAGACAGGTGCCCGGGCAGCGTCTCTCCAGGCGCTTTGCCCGCGGCCGCCGGGCCCGGTGCCGCCCAGTCGCGTTTGGGGCTTTTCTCGATCTGCCTCCCCGACCTGGCGTTTCCCGGACGAGCAGCCGGGGCCGGGCCGGATCAGCAAACGTGCGAGTCCGCCCCGGCCGGCCCGGCCCGGCGGCGGAGCGTCTCGGGTTCGATCCGGTCGAGGGCACGAACCAGGGTTGCAGGGTCGATCCCGGCCCTGGTGGGGTCGTGCGGGAGGCCACCCATCCAGGCGTCTCTCTCACTTAGGTGCCCCCCCCCCCTTTCCACTCTATGTAAGTCAACGGGGAAACATCCTCGGGTGAGGATTAACAACCACCACATAATAATCATGCTGAGATAGAATAAAGCTACTGGAAAATTGAAAGAAATAATGACTCAAATCGCTAAGCATAATTTGAAATGTTTTCCAGTTGCTTGTTTTACTAGACCCAAGTCCACTTCGAGTCATCGTGTATCCTCTTTCCTCCTTTTTCTGCGACCCAGCCACCTCCACTGCTTTAGAGACCGCCAGCCCACCAGGCCCCCTGTGCCACCTTCGTGTTTTGGGTGACACTCAGTAGACACATGCATCTCTGCAAGCAAGTGCCTGCCAAGCTGAGCCCTCAGGAGAAGCTTCTCTTTAATGCATTCTCGTATTTGTAAAAAAGGGAAGTTAATTTGTTTTGAAGTTAACTGTGACCAGATCAAGTGCGTGGTTTTTAAAATCCACTTTAGACTTAATGAGGCTAGTTTGCTAAGTAAAACAAGGGTATCCTTGTGACTTTATATAGAAATATTAATTTTTGATGTTTCCTCTATAACTGATAAAATTAGGAGACTAGGAAGGATTTAGTAGGGAGTTTGTGTGTGTGTGTGTGTGTGTGTGTTTTAAGTACTATGAATAAGCCAGATATCAATTATAGATTCATTTCAGTTACTGAACAGTTATTTTAGGAGAGGAAACTGCTTAGGAGTTTGACTGCATACTCAAGGTTTCCATTGGGATGTCCGTGAGGAATGTGCCAACTGTAATCCTTAGATTATATCTGCTTCTCATGATTTACGTTTTCTCAGGAAAGGCTTTAGGACAAGTTAGAGATATTCTGTGAGTGTTCAGAAAGTTTCAAAGGATACAGTTCATCTACTTTGGAAGAAAGATTTTTAGTCCACTTGACAGGTGATTGATAGCGCCCCCCCCTCCCCATACATACACTCTTGTTCTGTTTAATTTCTGATGTTGTTGGATGTGAACACCCTGCTCTGTTCTTTAATGCACATTAGGAGGTTCAGGAGAAACACAAGCTGTGCAAAGAATATTCTTAACACCTTGGAGAAATATTTTTAAGTAAATTATTAGGGTTGTTGACTGAACTCTGTGCAAGGCAGCTGCTATGCAGTATTTACTTAATGAAGGAAGTATGTTGGCCCTCTCTGTGTGGGGGTTCCACACCTGCATGCGGGTGGAAAGAAAATACTAGGAAAGAAGTTACGTTCTTACTGATGTAAACTTTGTACTTCAGCCTGTGGTGCTGCCTCTTGTGCCTGTACTGAAGGTGTACAGACTTTTTTCCTCCTCATCATTCCCTAAACAATACAGTGTAACTACTGTTTATATTGTATTAGGAATAATAAGGCATCTAGAGATGATTTAAAGTTTACAGGGGGGGATGTGCAAATATGGTCCAGGGCTTTGAACCATGAGGGTCCACTTATACCTAGATATGTTTTTCTCATTAAATACTGTAAATGTGTTTTCTTTTCCTTATGATTTTTTTAAAAACATTTTCTCTTTATTGTAAGAATGCAGCGTGTAAATACATGGGTAAAGTATATGTTAGTGGGCTGTTTATATCACCAGTAAGGCTTCTGGTCAGCAGAAGGCTGCTAATGGTTAATTTGCAGGGAGTCGAAAGTTATACATGATTTTTTTACTGTGTGGGGTGTGGGGGTCAACTGTACTATTTATGCCCTTTATATAAGGGACGTGAGCATGCGCAGATTTTAGTATCCAAGGCGGGTCCTAGAACCCAGTCCCCATGGGCACTGAGAGATGACTGTGTATGTATCTGTATTTCAGATCCCTGTCCTGAGTAGCTTTCGGAGAGTGACCGACCAGACAGGGAAATGGAGCTGCTGGCCCAGGAAGAGCAGCGAGCATGGTCTGTGGCCCTTCTCTTTACTTCGTGCTTGCTGCTTTTTCTTGGCGGGCTTCGGCCCCTTCCGTCTGATTTCCTTCTTCCGTGTGATGGGTGCCTTGGGAGGGGACCAGAGCAGATGCGTGACCATGGGCCCCTCAGCAGCACAGACCGAGGAGCCTCCCATGTCGGGTGGAGGGCCGTCCACTCTCCACCTGTATTTGGCTTCCTTCTGAGGCTTCTGCACAAAACGTGTAGTTTCAGTCAGCAGCGGTCAAACTTCTAATTGCGCTTGGACTTTAAGGCACAACTTAAATCTCAGGACTACTTAAATCTCATTCCTCCTGTGTATGGTTTGTGTTTTACTGAAATCTGCTGCCTGAAGGCACAGAGAGCCTCCAGTGCTTACAGTCCGAAGCCTCTGGCTGGCTCCCTCTGGAGTTCGGGCGCCCATTCTTCCCCTCTGCCTCACTGTTTTCCTCGCTCCACTTCTCATTGCCTGGGTTTGCCTTCATTCTGGACTAGCTCAGATCACTTCCTTGCTAATTTGATAGGTGGTTTTTTTTGTACGTGCCCTTAGTGGGAATCGAACCCGGGACTCTCTGGTCCGCGGGTCACCACTCCAACTGCTGAGCCAAAGGGCTTGATAGGTGCTTTCTCAAATACTGGAAGGTATTGCTGGGAATAAAATCTTTTCTTCTGATGCCGCCTATTTCTGAGGCAGAGGAGAGAGACAGAGGTGTTTGACTCTGTGTGAGGTTTTCTCGTTTCTGAATTCTGCACCTGGCCCTGTTCCTCCTGCTGGGGGCTACCATGGATTTTAACAGAAGGTTCTGCCCCAGGAGAACTTAGCAGTGATGGTGGATAGATGGAAACCAGAAAAAAAGGCCCGATGAGTGCCCGGAGGACAGTACAGGCAGGTGAGGCAGAGGTTGTGGGCAGTCTTGGTGGAGAGTGTGCCCCGGGAGACCTCTTTGAGAGGAGGATGTTCCTGTCCCTCCCTGGGAGGACACAGTGGGGGACCCCATGAGAGGCATCTGTGTGGTAGAGAGTCTGGCGCCTCTGCCTGAGCCCGTGTCCTGTCATTAACGCCCCTACCCGCTGCTCCTGCTCCTTGGGTGCCTGTTCTGCTTAGTGTCTGATCTCCTTCAGGGAGGGCTCCTTCCCAGCGAAGTCTCCCATAGGCAAGGCTGCTACCGGCCCGGGCTGGCCTGAGCTGGGGCGTCCCACTGGCCTACCAGCTGCCCTTTGTGTGGTGGCTCCTGGATCTGGCCATGTGCCCCTGCACGTGCTCTGTCCTCTTTGCCACCTCTGCAAGTGTGAACTGAGTTTCCTCCAAGGCCGCTGCTCCCTGAGCCTCACCTGTAGTCAGCGCAACTGCTTGAGGCCTCAGGAGCTGTGCTATGTGGAGGGCTCCTCGTCCTCCGTCACAGGCCAGGCTCTCCATCCTGTAAGTGAAAGCACACTTCCAGCAATGTCACTGGTGCCCTGCCCTGCACCCCAGAGGAAGAAGTGGGGTAAGGGAGACCCATAAAAGTAGTAAGCAGAACAACCCCAATCGCCCTGGCCTGTGACCCAGACACATTGGGGGCAGAGCAGGCACCAGTGACCTTAATGTGGTCTGTTTGCTGCTTGGGAATGTGCTGCTTTCTGGGAGCCTTCTCGCAGCTCGGGCCAATTCTTGTGGCAGTGGCCTGGGTCTGGGTCTGGGTCTCTGCCGTCGGACGTAGCTGCTGTCTGTGCTGTGGGCCTCGGGTCTCCTCGCAGGTGGGCAGTGCTGGAGCAGTTTTCCTTGTGAGCACAGTAGCTCCTGCTGGGATTTCTGGCTTTGAGGCAGTTGACGCTGTTGCCACCCCTAGAATGTGTCGGCTGTGGTTATACACTCTCTTGAGTGTGTTAGAGTGACTCGCAGACAGAGACCAGCCCTCTGGACAACCGTGCTGGGAAGAGCACCTCCAGGTGTGAGGCAGACAGGAGTGCCGCTGCTCACCTTTGACCCCTTGGTGTACTCGACTGCTCCTTGAGAGCAGGTGTGCTTTGCGTTGAAAATTGGCTTCAGTGCTGTAAAGACTACATTCTGAAGTATTAACTCACAGAGATGGAAAGCATGGTCTGTAGTGCCCCTCTGTACCTGGCCCAACGTTGTCATGACTGCCACATTCCGCCTGTCGGTGCTGAACTTTTTCAAAGGAATTGCAGATATCACAGCACTTCACCTCCAAGTGTCCTTTTCTCCGAATAAAAGGCAAAAGGATATTCTCTATAACAACACGACTATCATCGCTACCTTCTAAGAAACATACCAGTAATCCTCTCATGTCACCCAGAGGCCAGTCCATTCACGTTTCCCTAGTGGTCCCTAGTTATCCTTAGTAGTTGTTTCTTTCAAATCAGAATCTGTCAAAGTCATTGCATTGGTTGTTGTGTCTCTCTTTAGTTATGGAACAATACCACCACTACCGTCAACACTCTGCATGCCTGCCCCAGTGTACCCTGTGACATTGCTTTCTAAAGAGACGAGGTCAGCCCTGGTTGGATTGGCATAGGAGATAGAGCCTTGGCCTGAGGACCAAAGAGTTGCAGGTTTGATTCCCGGTCAAGGGCATGTACCTCGGTTACAGGTTTGATCCCCAGCCAAGGTCAGGGTCATGCAGGAGGCAACCAGTCTCTCTCACATCAATGCTTCTCTCTCCCTCTTTCTCCCTCCCTCCCTCCCTCCTTCCCTCCCTCCCTCCCACTCTATCTAAAAATCAATGTAAAAATATCCTCAGGTGAGGATTAAAAAACAAGAAAGACTAGGCCAGATGTCTTGCACATGTCCCGTGTTTGCAATTGTTTGCTGTTTTTGCACTGTCCTTGTCTGCTGTTTGGTTATCTAGTTCTCATGTTCAGGTAGCAAACTGAAGATCCGGTGCTTAGTTCTTTATCAGTTTTCAAAATAATCACTTTTCTATCCTCCTTCAAAGGTAACCAGTTGATTTTATTTTGGTGTTATGAACTCATAGGTTTAAACATACTAGATGAGTTTTAATGTGATTATGGGCCTATTTTATGTTCAAATTGTCTCATTTTAGATAGTAGGAGCCTTTACAAGGTAGCCCCTGGACCCTTTGACAGAACTCGAGGACACTCTCAACAGCTCCTTGCTCTCTGGTACGCCAGCATGTCCCAGACTGACCTGTCTTCTTCCTACCCAACCGGGAAGAAGCCATGCCGTCAAGAAGCCCTGGTCTTTTTTAACAGGCAACGGTATTTCAAAACCACCACCTAGAAGTTAGCTACGCTCATTGCTGCTGGGTTGGTCATTGTTTGTAGGTGTTTGCAGTGAACAGAGCTAGGGTTTATATCTGTTCACTGACTACAGGATGTTTATTTGACCTTTTGGATCTCATGTGTCTCTTTTCTACCCTGAGAATCCTGGTTCTCAAGGGCATAGGAGATGAGAGTATTAGACTATCACTACTCATTTGCCTTGCCCCTCGCTACACGCACTACAGCCTCAGAATAGCAATGACAGTGCAACTACCACCTGTGTCATTACAGAAACCAGTTAAAATATTTTTGGCATAAGCCTTCCCGTCTCCTCCCATCCTTGACTTTGTAGCGTACGTAGCTGTTGCTGGAGCGTTCTGACCCATGAGCCCTCGCTCAGTCTTGGTTCAGGTAGGTAGACACTCAGTGCACACACCCAGTCCTGATGTCACAGTTTCTCTAGATGTTTTGGTTGAGGTTTGTTCTCTAGTAGGTTTGTCGGGAAAGATGCATGGAAAAAACTGTTCCTCATTCTTGCATGTTGGTAATGGTCTTTCTGCATCCCTTACACTTGAAAGGCAGGTCGACATAACATCTCGGCTCACGTTTCCTTTCCTTGGATACCGTAGGTATGTCACTCAGTTGTTCTCTGGGGTAGGACATTGCTGTCAAACTCATGACAATTTATATTCTTTCCTCTGTAACTGACTTTGATTTTTGCCTGAGTGGCATTTCTTTTTCGTTAGGGCAGGAATTTTGCTAGAAGACTACCTCTGTTCATTGTTAGGGTGGATTTCCTCAGGTGCATGGTGTGCTCTTTGAGCCTCTAGTTTTTCCTTTAGGAAAGGTTTGTTTTCAGCGTTCTGTCTCTTGCTTTGCCCCCTCAGTTTTTGTGAGTGATGCTCTGACTGTGTATATGTTAGATCTTTACCTGTGTTTTAAATTGGTCAGTTTCTCCACGGCCAGTTTGGCTCAGCAGTTAGAGCGTTGGCCTGCGGTACTGAGAGACCCGGGTTCAGTTCCCGCTAAGGGCACGTACTGCGGTTGCAGTTTGTCCCCAGCCCTGGTTGGGTTGTGTGGGTGGCGACCACTTGATGTGTCCCTTTCACGTTGATGTTTCTCTCTCTCTCTCTCTCTCTCTCTCTCCCTTGCACTCTATCTGAACAAAATATTGAAAAATATCCTTGGGTGAGGATAAAAAAATTTTTAAAATTAAATTGGTTAGTTTCTCTTCACTCTTTCTGTCCCTTCATTATCACCCGACCCATGTTGCTCAGTTGTTGAGCCTCGACCCATGCACCAAGAGGTTGCTGGTTTGATTCCCAGTCCGGGCACGTGCCCAGGTCATGGGCCCAATCCCCAGTGGGGGGCATGCAGGAGGCGGCCATTGATGTTTCTGTCTCTCTCCCTCTCCCTTTCTCTCTCTAAAATCAATAAAGAAAAAAAATTTCTCTAGCCCTAGCTGGTTTGGCTCAAAGTCTAGAGCATCGGCCTGTGGATCAAAGGGCCCAGTCAGGGGCACATAACTGGGTTACAAGTTTGATCCCTGGCCCTGGTGGGGGTCATCCGGAATTAACTAATTGATGTATCTCTCTAGCATCGATGTTTCTCTTTTCTCTCCCTCTCTTCCTTCCACTGTACCCAAAAACTAGTGGAAGAAATATCCTCTGGTGAGAATTAAAAAAAAAAAAAAAAAATCTCACCCTAGTGGGTTTTGCTCAGTGGTTAGAACATTGACCCATGGACCAGAGGGTCGTGGGTTCGATTTCCAGTCAAGGGCACGTACCTCAGTTGCAGGTTCAATACCCAGCCCAGGTCAGGGTCTTGTGGGAGGCAGCCAATCAGTGTCTCTCTCACCTTGATGTGTCTCTCTTTCTCTCTCTCTTTCTCTCTCTCTCTCTGTCCCCCACTCCCTCCCATTCACTCTTATCAAAAATTAATGGAAAAGTATCCTCAAGTGAGGATTAACAAGAAAAAAAATGATTCCCTTCTGTTCATTTTAAACAATCATCTATGGAGTTTATTTGTTCTTATGTTGCTTGTAACTTAGTCTTTATTCTTGACACGACATTTTATTTCATTTCTGATACTTTCCAAGGATCCATAACCTCATTTCAGTGTTTTCCTATTCTGATTTATGTTGTTCTTTTGTGGTATTTTTTAATATTGTTATCTTCTTTTGAAATCATTTATTACTTTTTATTTAACTTGATTGAGGCTTTGGTTTTCTTGTGTGCTTTCATTATCTATAGAGATGTGTATCTTTTTTTTTTCTCGTATCTTTATGTCAGATTTGAGATCCTTTTCTGTTGTTTATGGTGTCCACCAGCCTATAAGTTCCCTGAACCTTGTACTTCGGGGATATTTATGGAGACTTCATCACGTAGGCATGACCAGTTATTTACTCATTTTCCAGCCCATGACCCCCTCTCTGGAGGATGGGGGAGGGTATAGGTCTGTAGTTCCAAGCTTCTAGTTATCGCTTGGTCTATTACTGAGTCCCCGTTCAGGAACCACCCAGAGTTGCCTCATTAGAACAAGACATCCTTCTGTCATTCAAAGGCTCTGTGTCAGGAACCAAGGTCAAACACCACATATTAGCAGGTTCTAGGGGCAGAGACACGTTATTTCACACTGGGTATAATTAACATTAATGAATTGTACAATTCGATAAACATATACACACATTCGTACATTTGTGTCACATTTCTGTACTTAAACAGCTGCTATCAACATTGGGGACAAGCTACAGTCCCACGGGGCTCCGGCCACCCTGCAGCTACTCTGTGGGCAAATGAAGCTGGGCAGCCCAGTGTTCCTCCCACGTGTTTGGGCACATGCCTGTTGGCTGGTACTTCAGGCGTTCATCCCTGGGAACCAGTGCCCTTCAGCAGCCTCATCCGGTCTGCTGGCTCTGGGTGGGCTTCATATGGCAAGGATGCGGTGTCTTTATCCTGCTGGAGGCACGGAGTGAGTCTCCTCCTGTGGTCTACTGGGGCTGAGGCAGGCACTGGGGTTAAGCCCATGCCCATCCTCTGCATGGGCAGCATGAACACATGCAGAGCCTGTGGCTGACCCCAGCCCAGCTGCCCTAGGCAGCCACCATCTGCTCCAGGGAAGCATGGCCCTACCGTTGACCTGGCCCAGTGTCCCAGCTTAGCAGGACCCTGTGCACCTGGGGCAGCTCAGGGGAAGCTGAGTTGTGGTGAGGGACCTGGCTCTCCCCTGCCCGGTGCAGGACCTGCCCCTGGTCTTCCATGGCTGTTCTCCCTACCGCAGCTTAGCATGAGCTTTTTCTTCCCATTTTCTTGATTTCTCTTGCATTGGGTTTTATTCACTGGTCGGCTAAGCTAAAGGGTCAGAAATCTGCCTTTTGTTTTCACCACTTGGCATTCTGGTTTTGGTTTATATGTAGTTTAACTTTTTCTATTCTGGTTGTATTTATGTTAAACCCTTGATTGTTGTTGTTGTTGTTGTTTTTTAAGTAAGGTTTTTGTAGGTTATGTGGAGTCTAGCTTTTTTACAGTAAGTGCTCTTCCTGGTATTTGTGTTTCCATATTGCCAAGAACAGGTTTTGTTGCCTTTTGAGTAACTGCTCTACTCCTGCCTTACCTCTTCTCCACCTGTCACATCTCATAGCGGCTGCTGTGCTGCCGATGCCTATGCAGGCGTTTTAGTTCCTAAGTCATGTCCTTTCTGATAGCAAAGGGGAACGAAGTTGATTTTAGGGATTCAGGTGTGCTGAATAAAGCAGCCCCAGGTGCCTCTGGTACACTGTGTGGTAGGCGAGGACATCAATTCTAGGCCAAGGCGACCCCTGTACACTGTTTTAGGGGTTTTTCCATGTTCCCCTAATTCTTTATTAATACACTGTTTGAATTTAAATTCCTATCTTACTTTACTCTTATTTTCCAGTTTTAGGGTATTATCATTGTGTAAAGATGATTGTAAAAAAAGTCAAGGAACATGCCCAGCCGGTGTGGGTGGCTCCATGGATTGAGAATAGTCCCCTGGACTGAGGGATTCTAGTTTGATTTCTGGTCAGGGTTGTGGACTCGATCACCAGTAGGGGGTGTGCAGGAGGCAGCCAATTGATGGATCTCTCTCATATCAATGTTTCTATCTCTATTTTCCTGTCTCTAAAAAAATAAAAACAAAAGAAAAGTCAAGAAGATACCTGACCTTTCCAATTTAAATTTACCATAAAGGCACTTTTTTATGCATATTTAGCCTAATATATGCCTGACACTACAGGATTGAAATGTGCAATTCACTTAAGTGCTTGACCTGATTTCATCTCTTGTAGGTAATGCAGATAGACCGTCAAGATGGCGACAGTCCTGTTCCCAAGATGAGTGGGTCAGCACAACATGAACTTACGTCTGCAACACAAAGTCCTTTACAGAACTCCTGGAAAGCAATGGTCTGCACCTTAAGACAATATGCTCCTGAGCTACATCTTCTGTTTTTCAGTAACATTTATGATTAGCCATAGTGATAAACATCCCGAAAGACAGAATCGTTCTGCACGCACTGAAGATAATGTTCGTTTGGGGGCACAAATGAGCATTTGGATCATTTTCTTACCAACCTGAGAGGGCATATGACGACACAGCCAGAATAGTTATGGTCAGTCATGGAGAATGACCAGGGAACCCATCCCAGTGTGGGTGGTGATTTTGTTTGTGATAAAATAAGTTTGAAAATAGAAGAGGAAGATGATGGAATTTCAAATCACAATTTGGAAGGAATGGACTTTAAAATTGAACAGGAGAACAGGAAAGCATCTGACAGTGGTGAGGAGCAGGCAGAGATCAGAGAGCCGAGCTACAGCTGTAAGACATCAGGGAAGTGTTCCCCTGCTGACCACGAGGACGACTACGGGGCCCTGTTCTCACAGTACAGCAGCACGTTGTACGACGTCGCCATGGAGGCTGTGACGCAGAGCCTCCTGTCCAGCCGCAACATGAGCTCCAGGAAGAAGTCTCCAGCCTGGAAACATTTCTTCATCTCTCCTCGGGACAGCACGAAGGCCGTGTGTGTGTACTGCATGAAAGAGTTCAGCCGTGGCAAAAATGAGAAGGACCTGAGCACGAGCTGTCTCATGCGGCACGTGAGGAGGGCGCATCCCTCGGCGCTCATCCAGGAAGATGGCAGTGTGTCTGCCCTGGGCTCCCTCTCCTCCCCTGCACTGCTGCTCCCACCACAACCTGAACCTGTTGGAGACCTGGGCACCTTACTGTCACCCATCAAACTTGTCCAGAAAATGGCCTCCAAGATCCCGTCTTCTGAGCAAGTGACGGAGGAATCTGTGTCTGTTGTTTCTTCTGAAGAGGTCTCCTCTGACTTGTCCATCTCTGAGAAGTATAGCCGGGAAGAAGCCCTGGTGGGGCCACCCCCACCGCTGCCCACTCGTCAGTATGATGACGCTGCAGGGAGTGGGCCAGAGAAGAGCCTCCCGATTCCAAAGAGCACCTCTGGGTCTCGAAGGTGGTCTGCGGTCTGGAAGCACTTCTACCTGTCTCCTCTGGACAGCTCCAAGGCTGTATGTATTCACTGCATGAATGAGTTTAGCAGAGGGAAGAATGGAAAGGACTTGGGTACCAGCTGCCTCATCCGGCACATGTGGAGGGCACACCGTGCCATTGTGCTGCAGGAGAAGAGTGGGGGTGCAGCCATGCCGCCCCCTTACTCTGCTCCCCCCACCCTCCTGCGAGCCCTCCCTCCTCCTGAAAGAGATCCAAGCTTCGTGTCTTCTTCACCAGGGAAGGCAGTACTAGAGGCCCCCTCAGCATCCTCTTCCCCGGACCCGCTGACTGAGGACATGCCATTGCGTCTGAACCCCACAGATGCACTGCTGGAAGATGCGTCGGTGCTGTCATCCTCTGAGGACATCTGCGAGGCCTCGGTGGTGTCCTCTCCTGAGAAGCAGCAGGATGAAGGGGCGAGCCCTCGCGTGTTTGAGGCTGGTGCTGTGTTCCAGCAGAATCAAAAGGTGATGAAGAGACTGAAGTCTGAGGTTTGGCATCACTTCTCACTAGCCCCCATGGACAGTCTGAAGGCGGTATGCAGACACTGTGGTTGTGTCATCAGCCGGGGAAAGAAGGGTGATGTGGGCACCAGCTGTTTGATGAGACATCTCTACAGACGCCACCCGGAAGTTGTTGGGCACCAAAAGGGCTTCCTGGGGACTAGTTTGTCTAATCCTCAGTATGCCACCTTGGCGTCTGCAGAAAGTTCCTCCTCGAAATTAACCGACTTGCCAGCAGTGGTCACAAAAAGCAATCCAGGTCTCTTTCCCGTTCACGGCAAAAAGACCTCCAAGCTGTGGAATCATTTTTCTGTCTGCTCCACAGACCCCACTAAGGTCATGTGCTTGCACTGTGGCCGGACGATCAGCAGGGGGAAGAAGCCGACTAACCTGGGCACCAGTTGTCTTCTGAGGCATTTACAGAGGTTCCATGGCAGCGTGCTGAAGACCGACGTCCCCAAGACCACTGTGCCCTGTTCTCCAGGCAGCCGTGTGCCCCTGAGTGCAGAATTGTCAGGAGCTTCCTCCTTTGTCGACACCGATGAGAAGTTTTATGATTCTCATCCAGTTGCCAAAAAGATAACAAGTCTCATAGCTGAAATGATTGCACTTGACCTTCAGCCATATTCTTTTGTAGACAATGTTGGCTTTAACCGGCTGCTCGAATACTTGAAACCTCAGTACTCTTTGCCCTCCCCTTCCTACTTCTCCAGGACAGCTATCCCCGGAATGTACGATAATGTGAAACAGATCATTATGTCACACCTTAAGGAGGCTGAGAGTGGCGTGGTCCACTTCACATCTGGAATATGGATGAGTAACCAGACCCGGGAGTATCTGACCCTCACTGCCCATTGGGTCACCTTCCATTCGTCAATCCGGCCTCACTGTGAGGACCACCACTGCTCAGCACTGTTAGACGTGTCACAGATTGACTGTGACTATAGTGGCAGCAGCATTCGGAAGCAGCTGGAATGTTGGTGGGAGGCCTGGGTGATATCCACCGGCCTTCAGGTTGGCATCACGGTGACTGATAATCCCAGCATAGGAAAGACGCTGAATGAAGGGGAGCACTCCAGCGTGCAGTGCTTCAGTCACACGGTGAATCTCATTGTCAACGAGGCCATTAAAAGCCAGAGAATGGTCCAGAATTTACTCAGCATCGCTCGGAAGTTATGTGAGCGGGTGCTCCGGTCACACGAAGCCAAGGAGAAACTGGCGGAGCTGCAGAAGGAGTACGAATTGCCGCCGCACCATCTTATTCAGGACGTCCCGTCCAAGTGGAGCACGTCGTTTCACATGCTGGAACGGCTCATTGAACAGAAGAGAGCAATTAACGAGATGTCCATCGAGTGTAATTTCAGAGAACTGATCAGTTGTGACCAGTGGGAGGTCATGCAGTCTGTGTGTCACGCACTGAAGCCCTTCGATGCTGCGAGTCGGGAGATGAGCAGCCACGTGTCCACCCTCAGCCAGGTCATCCCCATGATCCACATCCTGAACAGGAAAATCGAGATGCTGTTTGAGGAGACGATGGGCATCGACACCATGCTGAAGTCTCTGAAGGAGGCCATGGTGAGCCGACTGTCCGCCACCCTCCACGACCCCAGGTACATCTTTGCTACATTGTTGGACCCTCGTTACAAAGCCTCCCTTTTCTCTGAGGAGGAGGCGGAGCAGTACAAGCAAGATTTAATCAGGGAACTAGAAATGCTGAATTCTACCTCAGAGGACACACCTGTCTCCAATGGGTGTGATCCAGGCTCCCCATCGAGGGACTCCAGTGGGGATGAGAGCCTGTGGTCACTCATGGCCAAGATAAAAAAGAAAGACCCAAGGGAAAAGACGAAGGTGCCTGAGGCCATGGTGCTTGCATACCTGGAGGAGGAGGTGCTTGAACACAGCTGTGACCCGCTCACCTACTGGAACCTAAAGAAGTCCGCCTGGCCGGGCCTCTCGGCCTTGGCTGTCAGGTTTTTGGGCTGTCCTCCGAGTATAGTCCCTTCGGAAAGGCTGTTCAGCACACCCACTGAAAACGGTAGCTTTGGCCAGTCCAGGCTCATGATGGAACATTTTGAAAAACTTATTTTTTTGAAAGTGAATCTTCCCTTAATATACTTTCAGTATTGAAATCCCAGTGGAGCCACCAGGCTAAAGATGTTGCTCGTTAGGCACCAGCTGTTTGTTGGGAGCTGGTGGCTGGCACCAGTCGGAGCCAAGGAGGACATCAGATCAGGCACTCTCAGGTCCACGCTGAGTTTCCCTTAGTTTCACTGTACTGTCTCTATGTGCCTTACTCGTAGTCCTTCAGGCCAGGTACCACGGTGTGTTTTTTACCAAGCCACTAGAAACAGCCTGTCTTGTCAATTATGAAATATGATTCCTAGGCTTTAATCCCTAACTGTAAAGTTTTTTTGAAAGCTGGGGGTTAGTAATTTGTTTTACTAGAATCACAGAGAAGATGTTAACAATTTTATTCTGTAGGCTTTTTATTCAGTTATGTAAAAACAAATCAGGTACTGTATTTTAGTTAAATATTGCTTTAATTGAAACAAAACAGCCTTTGGGGTAACAGCCTTTGGGGTTGTAAAAAAAAAAAAATGTAAATAGAAGGTGGAGTAGAAGCCATCCTGACCGAGCGGTTTTGATCTGCAGCTCTAACGTATGTGCGGCATGCAGAGCATATTCTGGAAGATAACTGTTCACTATGACAGACGTGACATTTGGGGACAGAACTAAACTTAGAGGTATCGTGGAATGTCAGTTGCATGGTGGTTGGTAAGGAGAACTCACCTTTGTTCTGGTTTTACATTGAGGTTTCACATGGTTTGTTAACTCAGAGATGTCCTGACTACTTAAGAGCTCCTTGCTGTCTGCTATCCAGCCAAATGACAATATGACACGTCTACAGCAGTTCTGGTGATTAAACCTCCACGCCTCTGACCTAGTGTCTCTACACTTTGAAGCTGTCTTTTGAAATGTGTGTAGTGACCCCCAATTTGATCAAATCACATGTAAAATTCTCTTTAGAAGAGGTGGCTTATGAACAGGGAAGAAGATTGTTTTATTACAGTTGTAAGACTAGCCTTAGGTGTTTAGGTTTTTTTAATAATATGGGAGACTCAGCCATCACGGGTATTCTAGAATCCCAGGGACATCAGAATGAAGTGTCAGTTGTCAAGATTCTTGTAACATTAATATGTCTTCAGAGTTTTTGCTTCAACATTCAGAAAAGGGTTCATTTTTTTATTTCAGACCAATTAAATACACAGAGTGAAAAAAGCCAGTCATTGCCTATGACCTTTTAGAAAAGTTGTTTGGACAAAATACTGTACCTATTATTAATCTTACTTTGCATTGACTATGTTTTAGTATATTTATAAATGGGGAACTTAGTTTCTGAAATTAAACTTTTTATTTGCAATTTCCTGCTGTTTAAGGATGATGGCTTTTGTTCTTAGGATGATAAAACAGTCGTCTTTTGGGGGGGGGCACAATACATGGACACCACATTCATTCAGGCCTTGAATTTTACCTTAGCTCCAGGTAGGGCATGGGAGAGGTGATGATGTGGTCCAGGTAGGGCATGGGAGAGGTAATGATGTGGTTTTTACAGCAGCATTTCTGAGAGTGGTGCTGACCTGTGTTCACAGTGTGTGCTGTGCCATGTGTGGTGCCAGAACACTAGAGCCTGTGGGTAGCCTCTCCCTCGGGTTGCTGTGTGCATGTTCCTGAGTCCAGCCTCTGTTCCGGAGGCCCAGGGAGCGCCAATCAGGGACACTAGAATCATGCTGATATGGTTTTCCCTTGCCTCCCATTAGAATTCCTATAAATGTGTGCTCAAGGTGATACTACGTGTAAAGACCTCACCTGTTTGGGATATAGGTTGTAATCCTTCCCTGTGCTGGGTCTAACAGGGCTGGGAAGTGAGTCCAAAAGGCCAGAGTAGCCTTGGCTGGTGTGGTTCAGTGGTTAGAGCCTTGGCATGCTCCAAAGCGTTGCGGGATCCAATCCCAGTCAGGGGCATATTCCTGGGTTCAGGTTTGATCCCCAGCTCCAGTCAGGGCTTATTCAGGAGGTTACCAATCGATGTGTCTCTCACATCGATGTTTCTCTCTCCCCCTCCCTTCCTCCCTTCCACTCTTTCTAAAAATCAATGGAATAATATCCTCGGGTGAGGGTTAACAACAACAAAAAACAACAGGCCACAGCAGATGTCCTGGAGACCTGGTGTTGGGGTCATGGCTTTCCTGAAGGGAGAGCCCTCAGCTTTTTATCTGGGGTTGTTAGTAGTCCTGCTTCCCAAGACCCAGTAGGGAGAGGCCGTTGTGTGGCCTCCTGGCTCTGGGCCCTGGGCTCTCACCTGGGCACCTGGTTGGACTTGGCATGGGAAATGTTTCCTTGAATGGTCTGTATACCTAGTGGTGTGCTGACTTTGAGTTGTTCAGGCCTCTAACCTGCTCTTCTGCCTCCAGTTCATCAGTCATGACGTGGGACTCCCCAGCCCTCAAAAGTTCTGTGGGCCTGACAAGGTTGTGTGTGTTCAGTGCTATTTGTATTGCTCATGTCAGGGACAAGCGTTGATATACTTTCCTACTTCTCTGTATTCACGCTTCAAGGGTTCGACTTAGGTTGCCATAATAGGGGAGGGTTCATCATGTAGACAGTGAGCTGTGGGACAGCAGTGTGGCCCAGGACTCAGCTAGCCCATTCCCTGCCAGAGCTTTAATGTCCCCTGCACAGGCTGGGAGCGGCCCCAACATGAGGCCTCCTGGCCCCCACACTTACAGTTTGGTGCAGTGCCCAACAGACTGGGACTTGTGTCAGCCTGTGAAGGTGCCCAGGCAGCTCTGGTCCAGTCAGCTGTGGGCTGCAGATTATTTGGGGGTTCCCACAGAGACCATCTCTCCTGACTTGGATGTGGGAGAATGCTCAGCTCTGCCCATGCCAACCTGCAGCCCTGCTTGTCTCCAGGTGCTATTTTGAATGGTAATGCCCTGAGGATTGGGGTACTGAGCTTCATGGCCTTCCCCCTAAAAACAGGTCAGCACAGAGTGCATGGCAGTGTGTCCTTGTCCCCCCTTTCTGCTGGTCCAGAGCTTGGTTAGAGTGGATGCAGCCCTGCCCCTTGGAGCGGAGTTTCCTCAAGCCCATTGGCAGTCTGGTATGCTGTCTGGTAGGTGAAGTTTCCTTCATGTGCTATCTACACTGCTTCTGAGCTGTGGGGCAACACTAAATGGTTGTCACAGAGACAGGCCCACAGAGCCAGATCTTTAGTGTTGGGCCCTTTACAGGACAAGTTTGCTCACTTCAGTGGGCAGAGAACATGGCCCGAGTGGTTCCAAAGAACGCAGCAGTTCCTTGTGCATTGTGCATTAGTCCGTATTGACTATTCAAACAGGCCCTGTGAGCACTGGAACCGATCAGACGGTGTGTCCTTGCACTGCTGACAGTCCTGCAGGAAGAGGTAGGACCAATGCTTACAGCTGTCTAACGCTGCTCATTGCCACTCCTGACGCTGACATTTGCACGATAGAGGGGCGCTGGATGCAACTTGAAATGCGTCTGCTTTGCCATGCCGCTGTAGCTTGTTCAGACACAAGTGCTAAGCTGTTCATTTCCTACTGTAGGTGACATGTGGGGCAGGTGGCTTCACTTCCCTGGTCACTCCAAATAAAAAGCCCTTTGTGTAAGTCACAGGAACTGTCTCGTTTCAGTGAATGAATACTGTTGTAAGTGAAATGTCGGAGTTCACTTCAAGTTAAAATTTCCTTCCACTCTGACTAAAGCAGCAGCTGGTATCAGACCAAGAACTATTCAGGTCAGAGGAAAAAAATGTTAAACAACCTTTTTGGCCTGGCTGCTGTGGATCAGTAGTTGAGCATCGACCCTGCACCAAGTTTGATTCCTGGTCAGGGCACATGCCCAGGTTATGGGCCCGATCCCCAGTGGGGGGCGTGCAGGAGGTGGCCAATCGATGTTCTCTCTCATCGATGTTTCTATCTCTCTCTACCTTTCTTTCTCTCTAAAAATCAATAAAGGAAAAAAAATTTTTTGAAGATATCAAGGAGGACTCAAGGATTTGAGGAAGTGTGATTCTAGCAAAGAGACACTTGCACAAAGGTAAGTCCTCTGTTCAAAGCTCTTCCTCTGTGGACATTTGCTGGTGTGCAGTGATAGTAGGCAGAACTGGCAGTGGTGACACTGGGCTAGGGAGATCTGTGGTGACATCAACCAGGACTCCAGAAACCGAGGACTTGGAAAGGAAGGTGCCTCAGGAGAGGTTATGTTCCATGCAGCCTCCTCACACATAGGGACTGGTCCCTGGGAGGCATTCGTGTGAAGTGCAGGAAGCTGAGTTCACTGGGCACCCTGTGCAGGGAGACAGCTGGACTCCAGTAACTGCCAGCAAGAGGATCCCAGGGCCCTGGCCAGTTTGGCTCAGCAGTTGAGTGTCAGCCTGCGGACCAGAGTCCCAGATTCGATTCCCACTAGGGGCACGTACCAAAAAGAAAAAGAAAAATTATCCAACACTAAAAATAAGCCTAAAGACTGTGAAAGTAAGAGCATGGACAACAGAAACAGGTGATCCAAATATCAGTTTTCAGACATGGACTCTAACCGATTAATGCATTCAAGAAAATTAATAGGGTAGAAAATATCACCTGAAAGTAAAAATCTATAAATGCATTGTAAACCTAAAAAAATAAAATGACGAGCCCTGGCCGGTTTGGCTCAGCGGTTAGAGCGTCGACCTGCGGTCCTGAGAGACCCGGGTTCGGTTCCCGCTAAGGACGCGTACCTCGGTTGCAGTTTGTCCCTGGCCCTGGTTGGTTGTGCGGGTGGCAGCCACTCGATGTGTCCCTTTCACATCGATGTTTCTCTCTCGCGCTCTGTTCCTCTCTCTCCCTCCCACTCTACCTGAACAAAAAAATGGGAAAATGTCCTCGGGTGAGGATAAAAAATAAATAAAATAAAATAAAATGACGAATCAAGAATTCAGAAGATGGACATAATACAAGTTAGATGAGAAGCTACTGTCGGATTGGAAGCCGGATCAGCAGAAAAGATCTGACTGAAGTGCAGAGAAAGAATGTGGCACGGGACAGTGGGAGGTTAACAGGTACCGGAGTCCTGGAGGAAAAAAATGTTCACAGGCAGTATCTGAAAGAGACAGTGGGTATATGAAGACTCCCAAACCGACTTTCCCAAACTGATAGCAGATGAAGCTAAAGATGTCAGAATGTCAGGGTAAATTAAAAATGACAAAACCTACACTGAGAAACATTGACGTGAGAGAGACACATTGATTGCCTCCTGCATGACCTCGACTGAGGCCAGGGATCAAACCTGCAATCCAAGTACATGCCCTTGACTGGGAATCAAACCCATGAACCTTTGGTTTGTGGACTGACGCTCTAACCACTTACCCACCAGCCAGGAAAGCAGCTTACTCTTTGTAACGAAAACAGTGAAAGTTATAACAATGGAATGGCATCTGTACTGCCAACAGACTCACATGCCCATCATAGATACACCAAAAATAAAGGTGAAATGAAGTTTTCAGACATAAGAAAACTGAAAGGATTGGTTACCAGTGGACCTTCCTTGAAATATCTCCTGAAGGGTGTTGGGTGTTTTCAAGGTCGAAGGGAAATCATTCCAGATGGACATGTGATGATGCCAGGAGGAGGAGGGACATTTCTGGGAAGTGTAAGAAATGGGGAATCAATGTAAGTACTGGCTGTTTAAAACAGTGGTATCGTTCGGCCCTTGTGGTTCCATGGATTGAGCGTCATCCCATGGACTGATAAGTCCCAGTTCAATTCCTGGACAGGGCACATGACCTGGTTGCAGGATTGATCCCCAGTAGGGGGCGTGCAGGAGGCAGCCAATGGATGTTTCTCTCTCACATCGATGTTTCTATCTCTCCCTTCCTCTCTCAAAGTCAATAAAAACATAAAAAATAGCCTTGGCCAATTTGGCTCAGTGGTTGAGCGATGGCCTGTAGACCAGAGAGTTCTGAGTTCGGTTTCCGCTAGGGACATTTGAATTTAACAATGTGATAACAAAAAAACAAATAAAAAAAAACAAACAACCAAACAAAAAAAAATATAAAAAATTAAAACAGGCCCTGGCCGGTTTGACTCAGTGGTTAGAGCGTCGGTCTGCGGTCCTGAGAGACCCAGGTTTGGTTCCCTCTAAGGGCGCGTACCTCGGTTGCAGTTTGTCCCCAGCCCTGGTTGGTCATGCGGATGGCAGCCACTCGATGTGTCCCTTTCACGTCAATGTTTCTCTCTCTTCCTCTCTCTCCCTCCCACTCTATCTGAACAAAAAATGGAAAAAAGTCTTTAGGTGAGGATAGAAAAAATAAAATAAAACGGTGGTATTATTTAGGGTTTAAAGTAAAGGTAGATTGAGATATACAGACAACTACATGACAGGCAGGCAGGACAGGATGGGAACCAAAGGCTGGCTGGACCCTTGTGCTGTAACTATTTGGGAACTCTGTTGAACACTGAAGGCTCATAGCTTCCAGGGGAAGACTTGAAGGGTGAATTTTGGTCAATCTGAGCTCCTAG